AACAAACAGCCTAAGCAGCTCCAAGTAGGTCAAGTCAAAGAAAGGGTAGGCTGATGGAAAGGAAAGAGTTTTTAGGAATTGCTTTGGGCCAGTGTTTAGCAAAGTAGATTCAAGTGTCTGCTGATTCAAGACAAGCTTGTATCGCACTTTGTTAGACTGAGTCATAGCAGTAAAATGAGCCCACCTTTCCAGCTGGAGGTTTCTCTTTCCAGCACCTGCTGAAGCTGCATGGGTCGGTGCATCAGGCTACATGCAGGGACAGAAATCTCTTATTCTGAAACCATTTCTAACTTCTTCTAATTTATTTTCCTATCTTTTGAAGTAAATAAACAACTTTTCAAAAGCACCTGTGAAATTTAGCCCTCTAGGAGTGGCTGGAGACATGCCTGCTAGCTCTTCCAGAGCCAGGATTTCACTGACATCTCACTCAGTTTCTCTTTCAGTTTGTATTTTGAACAGCACGTAGGGGAGTTTTGACTTGCCTTTGGAAATTCAGTTTAGAGGAAAGCTAGGTTTGTTTAAGCTGGAGTTTCTCAGTGCTGGAGTAGAATGTTCTGCTTTTAAGGGAAGAATAAAAGGTCCCTCAGAATCCCATGGGAAGCTTGTTCAGGGGATACAACAAGGGATGCAACAAAGACAAGGAGATAGTTTTGCTTAGCAGTTGAAAACAACGACACTGAAGTTTATCTGTTACCACCACTTCAGACCTAAATACTTAATTTTTAGCCACCAGTCACAAGACTAAGAACTGTACTCCCTGATCATTGCTGGGTTAACATACTTCATTTCCTACTTATCTGATGAAGGCAATGACAGCCGGTTATATGCTGTGCAATATGCAGTTTTTGGCCAAGATTCCTTTGTGGTCTCTGTTTGCATTTGCATTAACCTGGGAGTATTAATCAGGTCAGGTAGCCACCCAGGAACATAAACCAATTCAAACACCCAAAAGACACACCACACTCAGAATCAACACACAGAAACCACAGGATCAAGTGCAGTATCCATTTACCAGATTAATCACATACATGCTCAGGGAGTCAAAACATAAAACATCTGATTCCCACCAGTCTCTAACTATACAAGTGTGAGTAAATATTAAAGCACCCTGAGACATGACTGGCTTATTACCCCTTCCAAATATGATGTTAGCCCCTTGAAAACAGAGTCCTGTCCAGGTAGGAAATTACCAGCCATGAAAGGACTTCTGATGTGACCAGTGGTCTAAATAATACTGAATGCTAAGTCATGCAAGGTTCAGCACTCCCCAGGAGGTACCCTCCAAAGTCTATATCCTTTAAGCCCAGGTGTTATAATCCTTTCCACAAACACACCAAGTTTGTTCTTATAACAAGGTGTTATTTGTCCCCAGCTCCTACTGGAAGGTTGTTTCAGAGCCTCCCAGCTCTGCATAGTTGCAAACCTTCCTCTCATTTGAGAGCCAGACCAATTTGCACCCAATTTGCCTTGTGTTCTTTAACTTACATAGCTAATTTTCCTCTGTGATGTTTACCATTCTGCTGCACAGATGTATAGCCATGACCCTTCTTCTCAGCTTTCATTTGTCTAGGTTAAAATCTTAGCTCTTTCACTCTTGCAAGGACAAGCTCTCCATCCTCCCAGCATTTCCACCATCTTTTTCTGTACACAGCCCAGGGCAAAATTACACCTCAAGAAAAGCAGGATCAGAATTGTCCATAAGATGCCACATGAGGCTTCTCCAGTTCCTGGGAAATGGCATACCTACCTTCTCCTGGAAGAAACACCTTCCGGCATATATTTGAAGTTGTATGTACCTTTTTCAGAGCCCATCCTGTGACTGAGCTATCTACACATATTTCTTCTCCTTTGTCATCTACAGCTGACAAGTCTCTAGTTTTTAGTGGAAATTGTTATTACTCCCTAAACTCATGACTTTGCATTTTGCACTACTGGATTCCATCTCATTTCTATTACTCCAGTCTTCAATGTCATCCAGTTCTTTCTGTATGGCATGCCTCCCAAGTTTGTGTCATCAGCAGACTTCAGCAACATGCTATGTTTTGTGCCAAGGTCATTCATGAAAATACTTAAATAAGATCCGTCCCCAAGATGAATCCTTGAAGAACTCCACTCATGTACCAAGCCAGATACTTTCCCTTTTAATGGTACTTGTTGTTGCTCAGTCAGTTCTTCAAATGTCTTAACAATACTCATTCTAATCTCCAGTTTATCTGATAAACATGCAAACAGCACAACATTAAACAATTTGCTGATATCCAGATAAGTAGGACCTATTGCATTCCTCTTGCCTGGAAAGCCCAACTATTAAATCCAAGAAAGCTGCCAGGTTTGCAGGAACTTCTCCCCAGACGTGCACAAATTATTCAGGATGCCACCTCACTCTGACTGTGACTCCTCTTGAAGGACCCACAGGTCTGCTGGCCTCAACAGAGATCCCCCCACAGAATCAGTCCCCTGCCACCTGGCCCATGGCTGTGGAGCTCATTTCCTATAGGAGCAAAATGACCACGAACTTCAGTGCTACAAGCATGAAAGGAAAATAAAATACAACCTCACCCTTGCAGAGAAAGGCTGTTTGAGCTCTCCCACACCAATGCTCCCAAGTAAACTAGCTCACAGTGAACCAGTTTTCATATGACAACTAAGATACTATGAGGATGGTTCAATTTGTTTGTAGGCAAGATCGTACACCTGCCCACCCTATGGTGTAGTGCCAGGTTCCTAGGAACCATTATGTCATTGTACATTAAAATTAACACTGTTAAATTAAGGTTATTAAAGCATGAAGCAAGTACCACTAATGAAAAAGGTGTTGGCTGAGTTACTGTAATTTTGCCTAATGCAGTAACACTGTGACAGAGAGGCATGTGGTTTGGTGCTTATGCAAATAGATGGCTTTGTGCACTAGCATTTTGTTATTGATAAAATCCACCAACTGCGGCACAAACTTGTACCTATTTTTGTCTCATGTTACGCAGGGAGGAAAAGAGAATTACCTCAGTCCAAAGGGAATAAAGGTTATGCTACTTTCCTTTGATAACACTGGGAAATAAGCAGCTTGCCATTCGGGATTCATTGGTATTCACTGTAATAAACACACTTCCTGATGTATGTATGTGATAATAATGAGCACTGTACAAAAATGACACTGTAATTTAGGAATAAGACAAACACAAGTGATGTAGTTCAGAGCTCCCCTGCACTCACTGGATTTTTGTTTGATTTTCTGTTTTGTTTTTAAATGATTCTCTGTGCCCACAAAAGCAAGGATAGCCTCAAGGGTTGCCCCAGCTGAAAAGCATCTGCAGTGATCCCTGCTGACCTTTCTTTCTGATAGCACCCCGCCTGCCTTTTAATGGAGGCCTGAACCGAGTCAGAGGTGAAACAGATAAATGACTGAAGATCCAAATGTTTTCTCAACAGGCAAGTTCCCACATGCTCAATTTTCTTTTCCTCCATGAAGAACAAGAGGGGTAAAAATTGCAAGTGATTAGTTAATGAACATCTGGTTTGCTTTACTTGTGCTTCCTTGCAGCCAGGGGTTGCATTTACTAATTTTTATTTCCTACTAAAAACAAAAAGGAGCCTTTTTTTTCCAAAGAGGAGTAGGCTCTTTGCAAGTGTGGCCATTCTTTCCACCACTGTGATTACCTGGCCCGCATGCCACGTCCTGTGTGGTTACCTTCTGTCCTGAACTTTTCAAGTGGTTTGACATGTCTTTAATTTAGACAATCAGACCACGTCTAACCTGAAACAAAAACACTCTTTGGAGATCCTGAGCCCTTTTTGAATCCTACAGATGTCAACCCAGCGGGATGTGATGTCAAACTGTTAATTATATGTGTAAAGAGGGTTGATGGTAATTACACACTAAACACAAATATTATCTGATGTAAATATAGACTGATTGTGCTTTTGCACTACTGACTGCTAAAAATAGCTGATTTAAGGCCCAGCTCTGCACTGACTTCAGATTTGGGCAATGCCATTGATTCATGTTGATTAGGAGTTCATGTTCACTTCAGCTGCTGAATTCATCTCTCTACATGCTTATTTTCAAGGGGTTTCACAGAACTGAACATTTGACTTTGCATGGTGATAATCAGAAATGGTTTTTATGAATAAACACCTCAGAAAAAAACAATGATTTGGAGATCTGCTCTCTTCCCTCCCCCAAGAGGGCTTATGCACTCACCTGAACTTCCCTGGCCCTTTCAGAACATCTCAAGCAGGTTCCCAAAATCTTTCCACTTAGAGAACTGCAGCCTTTCTTTGCATGGTCAATTAATTTCAGAGGCAAGTATAGCTTCTTCATTGTTTACTGTTGGCCAGCATCGAACCAGGGGTTAAGGAATGAGCCTGCTAGCTATAAACTCTTTAAAAACATGTTTTAGTTTCTTCCTCCCACTCCCACAGATTTACCTTCCACTTACTTTGCCAATGAGCTGCTCAAAGTCCCCAAGCCCTCGATAGTAGATTTTTTTTTATTCAACAGACTAAATTCCAAAATTATTAAAAAGGCCATTTATAGCAAATCTTCAAGCTGAATCCAGGGCAAAGTTGCGGCAATATAAATCTGGAATGACACTCATGTGACACATGTAACTGATATCATACTCTGCCCTATTTTATCACCCCCATCTTTCTTTATCACCAGACTGTCCAACCAACTTGGTCTCCAGAGAAGGATCATAAACCCACAGGTAATTGCAGGATGGCCACACAGACAGAAAAAAGAAAAAGCCTGCAGATGGGTTGTTCAAAGAGGGATTTCTCAAAAAAGACACCAAACCACTGGAAGGAGCCAAGCTGTGTCTCATTTGTGCATGTAGCGAGTATCTGTAAGTTCAGTTAAAATCAGCAATAGCTGCAATATGCAACGCCTATCAAAATCAGACATTTACCCACAACTGTGGCTTTTGAAAGACGTGATTTACTTCAGAACTGAAGAAGAAATAACAGGGCTTTTAGACAGACTAATAAATGTATGGTCCAGATACTTTTCCAGTAGCATATTTATTGTCCAAGGCCTCCAGTCAGCAGCACACTTAATTTTAAGCACATGCTTAAGCGCTTTACTGAACAAAGCTGAAATGTGGACCTACTGGGCAGCTCAAGAGTAGTAGTTTCACATTAGTCATCCTTCATGAGCAATGATAGCAACTGAGCTTTTTACTATCATATGCACAATCCAAGCTTAGAAGCAGCTTTCCTCTTTGCAGCTGTAATCTAGCAGAGAAGACAGCAATCTTGGATAGTAAGAAGGGCTTTCCTTACCTCTTAGGCTGCCCTAATATGACCACTAGATGATCCAGCATGGAGCCCTGGAAAGGTTTCATCCAGTGTTGCAGGGGACAAGCAGCTGGTGTAGAGCTTTCGGAGCAGACGGTGGTACTGACTTACAGAAAGGTAAAAGAGGCAGGGTTAGGAAAAGCTACAATAACCACACTTATGCCAGTGTTAATACAGTGCTCATATACATCTGAAGAGGTCAGAGGCTCACCAAAGTCTGAATATTGTTTAGTATCCCACCTACCCCAGCTCCCCAGTTTGGGAGACAAGGAAAAGATCCAGGGTGACCATGTACATTACAGATGTGTGAAATCCTTCTTGCTTACTGAAGGCACTGGGCTAATATTCTCCTCCAAGGATTGTGTCTGAGAAATGGACTGTTGGTACCTCTGCAGCCTTTAGAAGAGAAAGGAAAAGTAATAGCCATATATTGTTCTATAAGGTGTGTGGCACCAAATGAAACCTATATCAGAAGACTTCAGGGTTTATTTTTATGTAAGAGACGATTTCAGAAAATAAGATGTTGACATCAGATACAGACTTCCTGCAAGATAGAGCAATGGTGATTAGTCATAGCTCCTCAAACAGAACATGGGGCAGGTAGGAGTATTCATTTGCTGAGGACAAGGGTTTGCACAATGTTGGGCAACTACTGGCACAAGCAGTTCCACAGACTTGTCATTAGCCTGACCTTGCTGGGGTCACTTCTGCAAGAAATTGCTTGACCTAATGTGTCTGGAGATCCCCAGACTGGCCCTCAGAGTCAGAAAAAATCCTCAGAGAGGAAATCATCATTCACTGTGCATCATGCTAAACACTAGAGAATCCACATAAAATTGTCTCTTTAATTGAAGGGTAGATTCTCCAGTACCCACTTGCCTTACACTGTGTTCTAACCATTTCCTGCTCTCCTCGTTTTCTGATGTCTAACAACAGATGAGCTTAGCTTTCTCTGTGCTAGGAGGAGTAATTAGATCTCTCTCCAATGCCTGGCCATATATTTGCATAAAGCCTGTTAGAAGTGAGATTTTCTCAGATTTGGGTGAAACTGGGCTGTGGGTAGAAAGTGATGGGGGCAAAAGGCAGGGATAAGGACCGAAACAGTCACACAGAGCATGACTACATAAATCTTTCTTTCCCCTTTGGATATCAGGCTAAAACCAGCAACCAAAATACAGGTGTAACTTGTCACATTGCATTCTCTTGCTCATTTGACAGTCCCTGTGACGTATCTGACATGTGGTAGTGCTTGGAGGACTTGGTAGCAACAAAGTTCATGCCAGGCTCCACTCATACGCACTGAGGAAACAGTTCTTATATTCACAGATTTTTAGTCTAAATAAAGTAGATAGGTAGGAAGTTGACAAAATTTTCATTTCAGAATATGCAAGGGTTCACATTCACAAAGATGTTCAGACACTTCTATTTATTTCAACTGGAATCAAGCTACAAGGTATTCTTTGCAGATTTGGGCCTCAGTAACTTGTCCAGTATTGTTCTGGGATTCCAATGTTGTTCTTGCTCATGCACATGTCAGTTCAGAGCCTCAACTGCAGGAGCAAATCTTTTTCCTGAGCAAGTCATGTCCAGCATACCAGAACTGTGGAAATCCTATGAACACCCCAGTGCTAGCATGAACTCCTGCAGAGTGAAGCTGAGCCTTCTGACAATTTATCTGCAGTGCTAAGTCATAGGGCTTGTAGTCCTCTAGAGATGCTGTAAGAGGTAAGGAGAAAGCTGGTAGTTTTAGAAGCTATTTAAAAAGTCATCCACCGACACCTGCATACACTTTAAAACTATGCAGAACAAGGACAGCACAGAGGTATGTGCATAGGTTTAATAAAGTGGCTGACTACATAAATGCAGGGGAGGAGGAACTATTAGGAAAGGCAACAAGAGACCTAGATTTACATTTGTTGTATAGTTGAAGCTCCTCTCCCTCCTCCCCAGTGCACAAAAACTAGGACTCCCTTGCACTGATGTTGTGAAACATGGAACTGAAAAAGTTGTTCCCCTCAAAAGCTCACAGTCTAAGTAGTTTTTCTCTAGCAAAGAACACTGGAGTCCATAGAAGTCTCTATTTTCATCAGCTGCACTGAAGAAATCTGACCCTGTCTGATTTTCCAGGTCACTTTTCTGCATTGCCCACACACCTCTGAAGCACATGAAAAAGGGACTGAGGCTCATACAGCTTTACAGACATCACATCACAGCGCCAAGGAAATGGATGCTGTCCATGGAGAACCAGTGAAAACCCAAGGGCACAGAGGTTTCCAAGGTTTCCAAGGCAAAGTAAGCAAAAATCTTCCTGCTGATTCCAATGGCTTGTGGATCAGAGCCTTACAGCCCTGCCCCATACCTCAGATCCCGGACAGCAGGGCCGAGGAGTGATCCCAGAACTCCCAGCCCTCATTAATGCCTGTGAAACTTAATGATTTGCAGAGTTTACTTGCAAAACCTTTTAGAAGCAGAGACGAGTAAACAAGAGTGAAAAGTTAAACAAAGGAAATACATTTATGCTTGTACTGTTTTCAAGTTTATGCAAACAGTCCATTTCTAAAGCTGTCACTGACACTCCTGGCACGTTCTCATTCCCCAGCTCAAAGCCATGTTGGAAACTGAAATCACAAGCATTTCTGAGATGCTTTGGGCAAAGTACCTCCCTCAGCTCCACCAGCTGAAAATCAGTGAAGTCCACTGCAACCATGGAGCCATGGCAACATCCTTGTGCACTGACTGATTGTGGAAGAAGAGGGAGAAGAGTCTTGAATTTCTTTGGCCACAGTGGTTATGGAAGAAATTGGTATAGAGTTAGCTAAATGAATTATGAAGATCAGTTTAAGAAATAACAGCAGGAAAACATCAAGCAGAGCAGGAATTAGAAAATACTACTTTCTAGCTGGTCAGGCAGTTAAGTGGATCTGCCATAAATGTAACCTTTTAGCTCGTGACTTGACCCAAGGGAAGTAGACATGGACAGCCTGCTCTCCACCAGCTCCACGTTAGGAAGGGAGGTCACTCAGCTAGACCCATACACTATCATGAGTGTCAGTGCAGTGTGTTCATTTCTCTGGTAGCTGTTCACATTAATTCACCTCTGGATGTTGGATTCTGCAAATTGCACAGCAATACAGCGGTATGAAGGGATGGATGGGGTTCCCATTAGGAAAGATAGGGTTGTCTCCCCAGCAACCTAGGTGCCGCGCAGAGCAGCTTTGCTTCTGTCTTGTAACAGCAGGATTGGTGGTGAGTAGGGCCAGGGGAGCAGCCAGGGCCTGACTCCTCCCCACACTCCCCATGCAGCCTTACACAGTGAAGCGGACAAGTCCTTCTGCTGGTTTTCACAGCAAAAAGAAAAGTCCACTTTCTGCACTGGCTTCCAGGGTCAGAGTCCAGTGAGGTGAGCAAAGCCACAGTTTCCCAAACTATGCCTCAAAGAGTGGCATGGGTTTATTTCAAAGTGAAAGTACGTACATTCATGACAGACAGCACAAGCTCTGCCTCAGCTAGAAGACAGCATAGTTGCCATTCAGATGCCTCCTCACCCTTTTTCCTCAGCTCCATTCAGCTGCACGAGACAGCACGTTTAACTGCTGATCCATCTGAAGGAGATCCTACAAAGTTAATTTCTAGCTTTGAGATGGTTACTGGTAATTGTAGGTAATTTCAAATATAATTGCACTTGAGTTGAAAAAACTCTGTTTGCAATGTTTATGCTCATCACTCTAATTTAAGACTTAGAATGCTGGATATGCTGCTCTTCAATACACACCCATTTTTCATCTTCCTGATTTTACCACCAGTGATCATAAAAACAGCCCCAGCAAACCACAGTCTGCAATGCAAGACAAATGTTTAAAAAGTTGCATATAAAGTTTCAAGCAAAGCTGCTTGAAGGTTAACGACGGAACATGTTAATGATTATCAAATAGACAAGGAAAGCCGCAAAGCGCTTCGAACACAGAAATGCAAGAGCCCCTCAAAATAAATGGTGGCTAACCTTGTTTAGAATAATACTTCTCTTCAAAGAAATGGAACTGTTGCATGTCGCAAATATGTCCACATGTCGTTTTAATACAGGAATAATTACCCATGGCATGTTTGTTAGTGGAAAAAGCAAAGGTCTCCTATTACTTACACATAATAAAACCTGCATTGTTTACCATGAATGAGTTATATGAGACTGGTAATAAATATGTGTTGTAAGAAACTTTGGTGCCCAGGCCTACAAGCTGTTCTTAATATCTGCAGTTTGGTAGCACCTAGAGGCCCCTGGTAAAATCCGTGATGCTGAGTCTGCTGCAGAGAAAGAAATTGCCCCTGTTCTGAAACACATAAAAGACAGTATAGGTAGAGTAAAAAGATTCAAATCCCACAGCAGGGTGACTCAAAACACACAAGTATTTCCAGAAAGCCCATCCAAGAGGGACACACCGCAGGTGGCCCTTCCGCTGCCTCCATGATGTGCCCTGTGTGTGGAGCCATGTGGGTGGAAAGCAGGCAGGGGACAAAGCAAAACCAAAGGTTGTGTTTCAGCGCTGAGTAGATATTACCAAAGAAACTGTACATGCAAAGCTACTCGTATCTGCAGCTGCTGACAGGCTGGGGAGTCTAAGAAGACCATTTTAAAAGCTAGGCTACACTCTTGAATTCAAAATTAACAGCTGTGTGCTAGCTTATACACACTTAAAATATCTGATTTTTTGAAATATATATTTGGCTTTCTATAGTTGACAAAACTGCTTTGTAGTTTTTAGCTCTTTAGTGGCTAAAGTTGCATCTGCCAAACCTGTGCATGTATCAGAGTATCTCTATCCGTACCTTTATTCATAGTTAATCTCTATGAACATGTGCCTCTGAAGAAAAACAAAAGAAACCAAACACCTTAGCTTGCTGTACTCTCATGTCAATAAACCAAGACAGTTGAAACTATTTAAAGCTGGAACTACTCAGGAAATTATTTGTTTTCTTATGAAAATTCCATAGGAAAATGGAGAAAAAAAAATCCTTTTCCTCAACATTTTCCTATTTTTTGTTTCAGAATGAAAAAGTGTATTTCCTTAAACTATTTTTGTTAGGTTTTGGCAGCCATTGAACTATTTGAAAACTGTTGCAACAGCAAATTATCCAGCCAGCTCTACTGAGAGCGTCAATTCTGCGAAGATTGCAATACTTGCTTATTTCAATGCAACCCATAAAGGTAAGCCTTTTTGCAGAATTAGGTCTGAAATGATGTATTTAAATAATCTCTATATTACTTAAAGGTACTTAAAAACCTTGCTTTAGGAACGAAATGCATATATTTTAACTTCTCAGTAAGTTTCTTTCTCTAGAGAGGATACAGCTGTAGGATTACCAGTAGATGCTACCCATGATTTGTAGCTGTGCACCACTTGACCCAAGGTGGACATCACTCCAGGCAGTGTTAGCTGTTCCATCACTCACCCCAAGAAATGCAGGCCCATTTTCCTACTTATTTCTCTTTCTTCATTTGAAGATTAAGCATACCAAGTCAGTGAGTCTCATAGCAACCTTGCAGGTAAGCAAGGCTCCTCCAGACCTGCGCAGCAGAAAGCCCAAATGCTTGCTCCAAAATAATGCCCCAAACTTACAGGCATCAAAACCATCCCAGTGAGCTCTGCCCCTCCACAGATGCTTGACTTGATGTGTTAGACCCACAACCCTACACAACCACCTAGTATATGTGGAAAAAAGAAAAGGTGAGTGTTTTACACTCAGGAGTAATGCTGGTGGCCACCAGGACTCCAGATTCATCAGCAGAAAGTACCTCACATTTTTCTGTCACTGAACTCCACCTCCTGCTCTGCATGCATCAGGGGCCAACAGGCAGTAACCATGCAACAGGACTGAAGCTTCTAGCTTCTGTTTCCACTCTGTTCTTTCAGACTTGTAAAGTTTCTGCTCTGCTATCTGTGACTACAATATCATATAAGGCTTCACTTAGGAGGCAAAATAATAGGGGGGGCCTCAGAAACATGGTAATCAAAGGCAGCTGTATGCTAGACATTACACTAGCTCTAAGAATAACTATTAATTGTTTGCATGGGTTAAAAAAAATTATATCCCAAGAAAAATTAATATCAGTTTAATCCTAATGGGAGGAAGGTTAAACATGGCAGAGAAATAGTAGTAAGGGAGAAAAATTCAGGACCCTGATTCTGAGTGCCTGGAGTAACCAAACCTGATGAGACAGAGACACTGAGACACTGGGACACTGAAGTCTGATCATAAGGAGTTGACTGGATAATTTTACTAATTCAGTTTATGGGTCACCTTCATGTTATTTTTTACAAAACTCCGGGTTCTCTAGGTAGCAATTAGACCTGAAAGATAGTCTCACATTATGCCCTTTAGCATCCCAGCACAGTTGAGGCAGCAGCAGCTCAGGAGTTCTAATGTGCCTTGCTAAGCAGTATCTTCCTTTGGTCTGAGGGAGCTGATGGCACTACAGTACCACAAGATGGAAGACACTCTCCTCTTCATGTGTGCATAAGTTAGTGTCTGTTAGCCATATGCCTGGGAGGAAGATGGCAGAAGATAATCTGGTATCACGTACCATTTGAATGAGATGTTACTCTTCCATGATGAAGTATAACACTAGCGAGGGAACTTGTTCTTCTCATGAAACCTTCCCATTTGAGTTCTGCCATTTGGTCTGTGAAAAGAGGAAATGGGTAATGGATGGGTAATCCCCAAGGAGCACCAGCCAAGTTCCCAGACTTATTTTTCAAATGCCTTGCATTTCACTGTGCAAGTCGGAATACCAGATAAACAACCTTTCTTGGTAGCTGTTCTTCTATTCCTGGAACTTGGCAAAGAGACACCCAGTGGTGCTAGAGATGCTCTAGTGTTCCACAGGCTAACAGGCAACACAAAGTACTTGGAAAAAATGCAGCAAATGCAGGGCTGAGGAAAAATATTTCTGGCGATGAAGATCAACCCTAATCTTTGTAAAATGCATGTCACCAACAGTATTGTTTATTGTTACCAACTGCAGTCCTGCTGATACTTCAGAGCTGAGAACTGGTTCTGATTCGTATTTCATCTGTATTGTTCTGCATCACAAACCTCCATCCTTTTGCCTACTGCCCCAGTGAGAAAACTTAACTCCAGTATTTAACAATTAATCCATTGTATTTAGGATCCTCTATTCACCTTGAATCACTTGGAAAAAATATAACCTTAATCTCAGTACCTTACACAGAGATTTTGCTGTTCACTGGAATTTTCCACTATTGCATAAATACACCTGAATTATTGATTTTATCTGATCCCTGTATCTGTTAATTGAGATATTTGTATTTGCTGTGTACTTTGAGTCACCTGATGTAGTTACTGTTTCTGATTCAGTGACTGAAGCTATTTAAATAGAAGGCTCTTTACAGAACTCCCACAATTTGATTCTTTCTCTGAAATCACGTTAGTACCTGTACTGGTAAGTATTTAATTTCTGGGCACTGCCTTCTAATGATTAATTTGTTTAAAAGACTGAAAAGGAAAAAGGGATGCAATTCCCGGCTAATCAAATTGAAGATCTTTGTTTAAACATAAGCTTTCTGGCCTGAGGAACCATATTTAAAATAACATTTTAAAATATATGCATTTAGGCTTCAAAATCGAGCACTGCCAATTAAGTGGTTACCTCACTACAGCTCTCTCGTGCTTATGTCTCACGATGGGGTCTTTAATTACAGCATCATTTCAGACCATGTTTACGTATCTTATTCACACACAGTGAATAATACTGAATGAATGAGTGGCTGTTCAATATTTTGCCCCTCCTCACTATGCACTATGTCTCTGTGCCTTCTTATGCAACCCAAGCCCTGCTCCAAAGGCAAGATTAATAATTTCTCTCTAGGTTTTTCAAAAGAGCATTTAAATGTAATATATGAGTGCTTGCCCAATATTAATCAATTGCTGTTCACCCTGTAAGATGGGCAAGTAGTACACTTCCCATTTTATAGGCAAGGAGCTGAGGCACAGAAAGAAAGTCAAAAGTGCCCATTAATTTTCAGAGCCCAATTTGATATGCCTTGGACATGATTATTCACAGTATTTAACATTATATACTACTTTCACTCAGCATACCTCTCTTGTTGCATAAAGTGGCTGCTGGTGGTCCTTTGCTCTTTTGCATATCAAATTTGCAGAATCATAACTCAGGAAAACAGAAGGTGAGCAGCTTACAAACAGTGATCCCCAGGAAATGTTCCA